AGAATCGGATAGTTGTCTATATTCAGATCATTAAGCTATTTTAAAATAGCCTGAAACCAAATCCAGATTCAAAAGACAAAGCCAGAACCATTCACTATGTTTATTAAAATACAATCTCTTACTAAACCTAGCACAGTAACAGAGGCCACACTCACCGGATTATGACTTGAAATTTAGAAAGGTGCCAAAGAAACTTTATAGAATAGCTACAAAATGTTGCTTATAACTATTATTCAAAGTGATATAAAATAAAAGCTTACTAGATGTTTTAGGACTTAAATCTTAAAAGTAAAATCCAGGAGAAAAAAGAATGTGGTCAAATGTTATCAGGCTTTAAAAAAAAATTTTTTTTTATTGATTGATTTCAGAAAGAGAGACAGAGGAAGGGATAGGAAGAGAAAAAGAGAGAGAGCATGAGGGAGAGAGAGAGGGAGAGAGAGAGAGATGCATTCATTGGTTATTTCTTGTATGTGCCCTGACTGGAGATCCAATCTGCAACCTTGGAGTGGAGGGCACTGTAATCAACTGAGCTACCTGGCAAGGCCCAGCCTAATTTTTTTGTCTTTATTGATTTCAGAAAAAGAAAGGGAGAGGGAAAAACATTGATGGGCTGCTTCTAGCACACGCCCTACCACAGATCAAGCCTGCAATATGGGCATGGGCCTTGACCAGAAATCAAACAGGCGACCTCTCAGCGCATGGGACAACGCTCAACCAACTGAGCCACACTGGCCATGGTGGGCCAGCCTTTTTAATTAAATGCATTACTCTAAAATATATAAGTTGCTGTATATTAAGATTTTGAACACTCAAATAATCTCTACCCTTTCACCTTTCAGCTTCTTTTTAACATTTTCTCATAAAATAATGAAGTTCTCACAATAGAACACAGAAAAGTCCTACAGGGAGCCATTCCAACAACACTTGTGGTAGAACTCTAAATTCCCTTTGTTCCTACCACCTTGTCCACAAAATGCTTCCTAATTAATGGAAATATTCCACGTTCCTGAATAGGAAGAATCAATACTGTCAAGGTGTTATTTATTCCTAACTTGATGTACAGATTCAATGCAATCTCAATCGAAACCCCAGTCACTTATCTTGTGGATGTCAACAAACTGATTCTAAAATTTTTACAGAAAGGCAAAAAAAACTCAGAATAGTCAACACAATATATATATTTTAAATAATATATTTTTATTGATTTCAGAGAGGGAGGGAGAGATAGAAACATCAATAATGAGAGAAAATTATCAACTGGCTGCCTCCTGTACACCCCCTATTGGGAATGGAACCTACAACCTGGGCATGTGCCCCAATCGGGACTTGAACTGTGACCTCCTGAGTGATGCTCAACTACTGAACCACATTGGCCAGGCTACCAACACAATATTGAAGAAAAGCTGGAAGACTGACACTATTCAATTTTAAGACTTACTATAAATATATATTGTGGTATCAGCAAAAGAACAGAGAGCCCAGAAATAGATCTACACAAATATATTTAACTCAACTTTGACAAAGGTGCAAAGACAATTCAATGAAGAAAGAAGAGACTTTCCAACAAATGAAACTGGGGACAAACAGACATCCACCAGCAAATAAATAAACAAATAAATCTAGACACAAACCTTAACTCATAAGATTAACTCAAAATGGGAATGTTATGACCAAACAAGCTTTTGCATTTCAATATTTACTGAGTATGTATAACATCAAGCTAGAGTCTGAAGACAAAAACATGAAAAAGAACCCTGCCTTCAAGAAGCTCAGAGTCCAGTAAATAAAAGGACAATAGTATAAAGAAACACAATATAATGCAATCAGGACAATAATAAAATATGTATAGAGGCCAAAGGTTAACACAAAGGAGGCACAGTAACAAGTAGGTACAGAACAGAAGAGATCTGTAGAAAAAGAAATAAATGAAATGGAAGCAAGTAAACTACCAGATACAGAGATCAAAACAATGGTTCTGAGGATGTTCAAGGAATTTAATGAGAACTTCAACAAAGTTCCTAATTTGGGACATATCCTATGGGACAGATACTCTGAAATACTGTCCTAGAGATACAATGATGAATAAGACAAAGTCTCTGACTTCATGGAATCAGGTAGGGACCAATAAGTATGCCAGTAAAGTACAGTGTGGTAAATGCTACAATAAAAATAAGTAGAGCTATTAGAGATTTATGGGCCAAGCTGAAATAAGACAAACTGATATGCAAAACATGAACAGAAATTATCCAGGTGAAATCCTATATAATAAAAGGCTAATATGCAAATCAACCGAATGGCAAAATGACCGGTAACTATGATGCGCACTGACCACCAGGGGGCAGATGCTCATGGCTGGTGAGTACAGTGGTGGTAGCAGGAGCCTCTCTCGCCTCCGTGGCAGTGCTAAGGATGTCCAACTGTTGGCGCAGGCCCAGAGGGAGCGGGCCTAAGCTGCCAGTCAGACATCCCCCCAAGGGCTCCCGGACTACAAGAGGGTGCAGGCCAGGCTAAGGAACCCCTCCCCAAATGCACAAATTTTGTGCACCAGACCTCTAGAGTGTGAGTGTGTGAGTGTGTGTGTGTGTGTGTGTGTGTGTGTGTGAGAGAGAGAGAGAGAGAGAGAGAGAGAGAGTGTGTGTGTGTGTGTGTGTGTGTGTGTGTGTGTGAGAGAGAGCGAGTGTGTGTGAGTGTGTGTGTGTGAGTGTGAGAGAGAGAGAGAGAGAGAGAGAGAGAGAGAGAGAGTGTGTGTGTGTGTGTGTGTGTGTGTGTGTGTGTGTGTGTCTGGAGTGAAGTGGAAGATGTTGTAGAGAGGCTTAACATTCCAGGAACAGAGAAGAACATACAGTGAGACAGAGAATGGAGCTCAGTATGCCAGAAGCATAGGTGTCTAAGATAACGCTAAAGTGAAAGCAAGAACCATATCTTTTAAATTGGAGTTTGGACTTCACCTTGAGGGTAATAAGGAACTACTAAATGCTTTTTGCTTTGTTGTGTTTTTTGTGTTTTTTTGTTTTGTTTTGTTTTTTTAACATGAAAAGACTTCTTCTGATTTGTATTTGAGAAGAAAGTATGTACTATAGTACAATGAATAAAATACAAAGAAATAAATCTGGAAGTAAAGAAAAGAGCTGCACTGACCCAGAAAAATGGTTTATAGTGGTCTGAACTAAGATAGTAGCAATGAAAATAGAGAAAGTGGGTGGGGAGGCTGAGAGATTTAAGAGGTGAAAGAAACAAGACTTTTAACTGATTTGATTGGAAGTAGAGAGAAAGAAAAAGGAGTCAAAGATGATGGATGCCTCAGTTTCTGGTTTGGGCAAATGGTGGGTGGTAGTACTATTCAGTAAGATAAGAAAAATGGGAGAGCATATTTTGAGAGGGTAAAATAATCACTTTCATTTTGGTCAGGCTACTAAGTGACGAAAGGGCAGGGAACATCTACAGTGTGGGTACACTGGACAAAGGGATGATTCATGCCCCAGGTGGAACAGCATAAAATTTAATTTCAGCGCACAATTCAAAACTTATGAATTATTTCTGGAATTTTCCATTTAATATTTTCAGACTGTGGATAACTGAAACCATACTGTGGATAAGGTGGGGAATACAAGGTGGGGTGGGCAAAGTAGTACATAAAAGAGTTTGTTTTTGTATTATTATTTCCCAAACAACTGTAAATCCACTTTTTTCCTACCTCTGTATATACATACAATGGGATATTAAGCCTCCAAAAGGAAGGAAATGCAGACTCGTGCTTCAACATGGATAAACTTTGAGGTCATTATGCTAACTTAAATAAGGCAGTCACACACAAAAAAAACCAAAAACTGTATAATTCTACTTATATGAGGTACCTATAGTAGTCAGAAGCATAAAGGCAAAATAGAATGGTGGTTGCCAAGGGCTGGAGAGAAGGAAATATGGATTTAATTATTCAATGGGGATAGAGTTTTAGTTTTACAAGATGAAGAGTTATGGATGTGAATGGTGATGATGGTAGCACAATATGAATGTACTCAATACTACTTAACTGTATATGTAATAATAGTTAAAGTGGTAAATTTTATATGTGCATTTTATCACAGTAAAAATTTGGTGGGAGAGGTGGGGGAGGGAGAGACGGGGACTGAGAAGCATCAAGGGTTGAAGTATCTCTTTTATTGCTTTACAATATATATATAAACTCTCAGAGTAATTCTACAGATCATTATTATTAAGCCAAACATTTTTATACTGAAATACAGACTTCTCTAGCCTTCTCTTCAGGGTATATAGCTCACCTTAGACATTAAACCCTTGAGGAAGCTGATGTTTCTATTACATTGTAATGGCATGCATTTTGCTCCTACCTTTTATAATGGGAAATTTCAAATATATATAAAGGAAGAGAGAAATAAATAATGAAACCCCATATAGCTATCACCCAGTTTAAACAATCAACCCACAGACAATTTTGTTTTATCTATAATTCCACCCACTTTATTCTTCTCCCAGTGGATTATTTTGAAGCCAATCACAGGTATCATATCATTTCAAGCATAAATATTTCAGTATGTTATCTCTACAAAAATATATATTGAAAGATGACCAGTGTCCTACCTAAGTTCCTGTACTAGTGGGTCAGATTTCTGATATATTCTTCCAATAGACACAGGATAATAACACATTCAATCATTCTACAGTAGTTCCTTACCACTAAGAAGTGCTCTCAAACAAGAAAATCAAGAAGAAAATTACTTAAAAAGTTTCAATTGTAATAGGATCACTGATCAAATATGGTCTTAGAGGCCTCTTAGGAAAGAGATGGAGAAAGGTAAACACTCTCTACCCGTCAGAGGTAACTGATTTTTCATGTTATACAAGTCATTTGGTGAATGATAACAACACAGTAATAGTATATAAATATTATTATACATAAAGTAATGCATGTGCCTTCATGTTTTATAAAAAAATGCAATAAAATTAGCTCAATGCAGAAAATTTTATTCAACTGTCCTTACCTTTTGTCGGACTGAGGTTCTGATCTGTAAATCCTCTTAATTCTGCATTTGTGGAACTCAAACCAACCTGGATAAAATAGTTTTTTAAAAGTTAAAAAGATCTAAGTATTAGATGATCACTTAATAAGCCATTTCATACCTTCCACTAGAGGTCCATATTAAATATTAACATAATCACATAAAACTGAATTAATTACAACTACAGGAGGATTAAAAAGAAAATGTTGCCATATTGCTTGAATGAGGAAAATATGAATTGCCCAGATAAAGTAGAAATTTTTAAATGTTAGTTATGAGGAAACTAAGGTCTATAGGTTTTACTACTAACAGTTTTGTAAACACCGTGGCAGCCAAGAAGTTGCCAATAGATATACCAAAATTTCTTACCCTCACAACTTCCCTTCATTTTTACTATTCAGAATCACTGCCTATGATGCTTTTCAACATTATGACATGTAATGGACCAAATAAAGACCATTAATAACACAATGAAACTTTGAAGATGAGTGGGACTTGTTTTAAGATGAGCTGGAAGACTTTTATGGCTTGGATCTCTACAGCTTCATGTGGTGCATGAACTGGTCTGCTGAGCCTCAGACAGTAGCTGTCTCCTGTGGTAGTGCCTATGTTTCTATCCTAGGCAGGCCTAGCAACTCGTTACTATCGTAATAATTTTTACCCAGAACCTGTCTTCTCAATCCCTCACCTTTCCCCAAGGAATATGTTTTTTTCTCTGTTTAAAAAAGTTACCATGCCCAAACTCTCAGGGACCCCACTTCTAGGAATAGATCCCAAGAAACTATTAATAGAAACACCAATCAGAAAGGATATATGTACCTCTATGTTCATAGCAGCACAATTTACAATAGCTAAGATTTGGAAACAGCCTACACGCCCATCAGCAGATGAGTGGATTAAAAGAATGTGGTACATTTACACAATGGAATACTATGCTGCTGTAAAAAGGAAGGAACTCCTACCATTTGCAACAGCATGGATGGATCTGGAGAGCATTATGCTAAGTTAAATAAGTCAGTTGGATAAAGATAAATATCACATGATCTCACTCATTTGTGGAATATAATAAACAACATAAACTGATGAACAAAAACAAATCCAGAGACAGAAAAGCATCAATCAGAACCTCAAACCTCAAAGGGAAGGTAGTGGAGGGTGGAGGTAAGGGGGAGAAATCAACCAAAAGATTTGCATGATTGCATATAAGCCTAATAAGTGGACACAGACACCAGGAAGGTGAGGGCATGAGCAGTGTGTATGTGTGTGTGTGTGTGGGGGAGATGTGTGGAGGGCAAGATGGGGATAAGGACTCATATGTAATATCTTAAAGAAAAAAAAGTTACCACGCCCAGCTGGCATGGTTCAGGGGTTGAGCATCAACCTAGAACCAGGAGGTCATGGTTTGATTCCAGGTTAGGGCACATGCCCAAGTTGTGCCTTGATCCCCAGTGTGGGGTGTGCAGGAGGAAGCCAATTAATGATTCCCTCTCATTGATGATGTTTCTATCTCTCTATCCCTCTCCCTTCCTCTCTAAAACCAATAAAAAAATTTTTTTTAAGTTACCAAAAAATATAACAACACAATGCAGAGGTAAAGTCCATTGGCTCAAGTCCAATGCTTAGGTTAACATTCATTATTAGTATGATACTTGAGGGACTACCTATAGCAAGTGTGTTTATAAATTCACATTCAGATAATCTATTTCATTTAGCGAGGTGTCTACCGGACCACTTGGATCAGTGAATATGGTGGTATCATCAAACACAATTTTACAATTTATGATAGAGTCAGGGGTAGGGGGCATGCCATTTTAGAAAATCTGACAAAGCAAGCATCCAAGAAACGGTTCTATTACTCTTAAAAAAAAAAAAAAATATATATATATATATATATATATATATATATATATATATATATATATATTATTTTATTTTATTTTACAGAGAGGAAGGGAGAGGGATAGAGTTAGAAACATCGATAAGAGAGAAGCATTGATCAGCTGCCTCCTGCACACCCCCTACTGGGGATGTGCCCGCAACCAAGGTACATGCCCTTGACCAGAATCCAACCTGGGACTTTTCAGTCCAAAGGCCGACGCTCAATCCACTGAGCCAAACCAGTTTCAGCTGCTATTACTCTTATATTATTGTTTTAATCCCTGTAGATTTGTAATCATGAAACAGAAATACTAATTTGGTACATCAAATATTCTTTCCAAGTACTACCACACTGAAAGGATTTCAAAGCACACAAAGCTTTATAACTTTATATCTGCCCATCTGTCTTACATTGTTAACCTACCCACTGCTTTACATTACATATTCTATATAAGTGCTTGTTTGATACCTTATATTCTTTTTTTTAAAATATATTTTATTGATTTTCCACAGAGAGGAAGGGAAAGGGATGAGAGAGAAACATCGACCAGCTGCCTCCTGCACAACCCCTACTGGGCATGCGCCCGCAACCAATATACATGCCCCTGACCGGAATCGAACGTGGGACCTTTCAGTCCGCAGACTGACGCTCTATCCACTGAGCCAAACTGGTTTCGGCTTGTTTGATACTTTACAATTTCATGATGTAAGGGCTAGTTATTTCCTTATTTGGTAATTCAAATGCTCTACTAACAACTGTTTCTATTTTTGTCAAGAGATGTTTATCAGGAATATTTCTAAATATTCATATCATGGAAAAGTAATTCTGATGCAAACCTATCTCTAGCATCTAATATTAAATTTTTATGATGCCAGCTGGGCAAAGACATCTAAAACAAAGCTTTTTAATTCTATGTAGATAAATGATGTAGAGACTTACTTCTGTCTAGCTTCTTACAAGTATTCTGTTAGAAGTAAAGGAAAAACCTTTGCAACTATTGTAAATTTGCAAATTACCACTACATACATTTCCACAGTGGCTCACAAGGCCTAATATTAAGTGTTTAATTTATAAATGCCAAGAGTTTACTGTGGCATCACTAACATGCCTCTACTTTCAAACTCTTCTGCTATAAAGAGAAAAGAAGGTCAAACTTCTCTTGGTGTTCTATTGTAAAAAGAAAGAAGGCCAAGGCAGCCTCCAACATATTCCATGCTTAGTACAATGTGACTGTTAAGTACATGTATTTCAATAACTGCAAAAGCGTAAGTTTATCCCTTTTTGTTATTATACAAAGTTAACGGTAAAAACCTCAAGTAAAACCACATATTCACAGTCGAAAGTTCAGTTATTGAGTTACTGTTAGGTTTAAACACCTGCTCTTAATGTCCAACTTCTGCAGAGAAGCAACAAACAAATTTAGAACCTTTTTAAGGAGCTGTACACCTGCACCTTAATAACTAACGAATTATACTCTCAAAGGTCAATTGTGAGTCAATACTGTCTACTAATTTTGCTGTCATAGATGGAGGGAAGGTGACTGTATTCAGAGCTTATATAAATACTACCAAAATTTACTAAAACTTAAAAGTGTATTAATTTCTGCTTTCATAAACACTTTATAAAGACTCAAAGAAAAAGTAGATTGTTTGACAGTAAAAAGGGTTGCTAGGAAAGGCATTAAAAATGTTAGAATTTGTATGCATGCATATGAGCACAACCAGTAGATGCAAGACAGGGGAGGGAAGCCGAAACCGGTTTGGCTAGTGGATAGAGCGTCGGCCTGTGGACTGAAAGGTCCCGGGTTCGATTACGGTCAGGGGCATGTACCTTGGCTGCAGGCACATCTCCAGTAGGGGGTGTGCAAGAGGCAGCGGATCAATGATACTCTCTCATCGATGTTTCTAACTCTCTATCCCTCTCTCTTCCTCTCTGTAAAAATAAATAAATAAATAAATAAATAAATAAATAAATAGAATTAGATAGATAGATAGATAGATAGATATAAAGACAGGGGAGGGAGGATGAGGAGGTTAAGGCACATACCAGGGGTAGGGGAAGCGGGTGGGGGAGTCAATGGGGGGGGGGGAAAGAGACATATGTACTACTATTTATAATACCTTAAATAATAAAAGTTAAAAAGAACAAATGTTAGCTATTCTTTCCTTATTTAAAAAGGATCTATAATAATTCTATAATAATAAAAGCATAATATGCTAATTAGACCAGACACCCTTCCGGACAAAGACAGGCTATACGGGAAGCCCAGGTCCCAAGTGCCTGCCAGTGGCAGGGGGAAGGAAGGTCTACTCTTGCACAAATTCCGTGCATCAGGCCTCTAGTCTCTCTATAATGTTTCACAGAGCAAGAGAAAAAAGTGAACTCATTTTATGTAAGTTTTTTCATCTAATAAGGTCCTGAGGAAGTTTTCTATGTGGATATTTAAACATTGTGTTGCATACAATAATCAGTCATAAACTGTTCAATTAAAAATATCCAAGTGAGATTTTAAAAATATATATATTTTATTGATCTTTTACAGAAAGGAAGGGAGAGGGATAGAGAGTTAGAAACGTGAATGAGAGAGAAACAACAATCAGCTGCCTCCTGCACACTCCCCTCTAGGTATGTGCCCGCAACCAAGGTACATGCCCCGGACCGGAATCAAACCTGGGACTCTTCGGTCTGTAGGTCGACACTCTATCCACTGAGCCAAACTGGCTAGGGGTCCAAGCCAGATTTTTAAGAATGAAACCATATTCCCCAATAACAGCATTATAACAGCACTAATATTTAACATTTCAGATCAACATAACTGAAAGAAAAAAAATCAGAGCTCTACCATTCACAAGTAGGGTGATCTTGAACAGTAGCTGCAAAATGGGGATAGTTCATATGTGTACAAAAAACTCGGCTTCTGGATGAAATAAAAAATTATGTGAACATGTTTGTTGATAGCAAAGCAATGTTCAAGTATGGACAATTATTCAAATGACAGTGGCTTTTAACACTTCAATACTAACTAGACAACTTATAAAAGAGAAATGATAATGATGTATAAACATATAGAATACCAGTATAACCTAATTAGCAATGCAATCAGAGAACTTAATAAGTGACATACCATTTTTACTGACTAGATTGGCAAGGATTAAAAAGAAAATAAATGG